CTGCAATACTCGGCGGCGGCACAAAGGCGCCAAAAGGGCGCTGACGGTGTGGAACCCGGGCGTTTGTTCCTCACCGCATTCTCGGATGCCTCCTATGCATCGGAACCAGAGGACATGACAAGTGTTGGAGGGTTCATTTGCTGTGTTGGTGGAGGTCCAACTGCTTGGGAAAGCAAGAAGCAGGTTGACCAAGCTTTGAGCTCGGTGGAGTCCGAGTACATGGCACTCTTCCGTGCAGTACGGGAGATTGTGTGGCAGCGGCGTTTGTTGGCTGAATTGGGGGAGGAGCAGCAAGGACCTACCCCACTCTATTGTGACAGCCAGGGAGCCATTGCTCTAGCCAAGAACCCTGTGTTGCACGGCCTGACCAAGCACATGAGGGTGAAGTGGCATTGGACGAGGAGCATGGTGGCCGCGGGTGAAGTCGAATTGCGTTATGTGAATACGGCGGGGCAGCCAGCTGATATGATGACCAAGAGGCTGGTGGAGCAGCAGCATTGGAAGTGTTGCAAGCTGGCTGGGATGGCTCTGAACTGAGAGAGCAAGATCCTAAGGCCAACAATCCGAGGGGGAGTTTGTTGGTGCAACCCTATGGTTTGCACTCGGCTTGTTGTCCGTGTGCGTGTGCGTGCATGCGTGTGTGCATGGAGTGGTATGAGTGCATGAAATAAATATATATTTCATGCTTATAATGGTGTGTGAATGATGGGTCATGATTGTCAGAAGAACTAGGCAAGAATGATTGAAAGGAGAGAGAGCGATTGAACTAGCAGGCAGTTGAGTACAAATAGCAAACCCTAGATTGGGCTGTACTCGCTATAGAGTACCCCACTGCAGGCTAGACAATAATAGCATTCTGACACACCCCCATAGCCAAAGTGGGGTGTAATCAGCAGAGCAAGCAAAGCAGTACAAGCTCAGGGTGGATCACAATGTCACCACACATTCTGAGCACAAGTTCAAGAAGCAATAGTTTAAAGTTCACAGTTATGAGCAAAGCTAGAGGCAGTCACAGAGGGCAAGCGAGGAGGAGGAGGGCTGGCGAGAGGAGAGAAGATGAAAGGCGCCGACTGAAGCTGCAGACACACGGGCAACAGGAGCGGCGCGCACAGTGGCTACCGAGCGCACGAGGGCACCGGACTACGGGAGTATCTGGCTCCGCGGCTACGACGAGCACACACAGGAGCAACGGACCCACAGGCGACTGGCGAAGCAGGCTCGCTGGGCTACCGAAACGCGCGAGGGCATCCGGACTACTGGCGCTGCTGGCGTCACGACGGCTACCTCCACGCAATCTCCCCCGACCGTCCCACGCCCCTCTCACACACCCCCTGCTGACACCCTAGCTCCACTCCGACGGTACCCCCCTTAAACCCCAAACCCTAGGCTCCCACACACCACCCCCCTCAGCGGCAGCTGTAGCAGAGGGAGACGAGGGAGGAGGAGGAGCAGGGGGAGGAACTCACAACCGACACCCCCATAGCCGCCACCCCCACACTCTTCACCCCCAAACCCTAATTTAGGAGAACGGGCTGTAGGAGGGGTGAGGCGCCGGTAGAAGCACGGGGGACAGTGGAGAGGGCAGGAGCAGCGAGGAACGGGCCGCCCACGGGCCTGGTAGAGCCGCCCGAACCGCGCGCAGGCGGCCCGAGCCGCGCGCGGGCCTGGCGCTTCCCGTACGGGCCGCGCGCGTGCCTGGCGCAGCCCGTACGGGCCGCGCGCGGGCCTGGCGCAGCCCGTACGGGCCGCGCGCGGGCCTGGCGCAGCCCGTACGGGCCGCGCGCAGGCCTGGCGCAGCCCGTACGGGCCGCGTGCCGGGTGTACGGGCCGCGCGCAGGCCACGACGGGCGACGGGGGGCGACGCGCGGGTCCCCGTCGCCCGTCGCAGCGCCTCCCGGGGGCGACGTGCCGAGTGACGGGGCAGGAACCCGCCGCGCGCCTCGGGGCACACGGCGGGCAGAGAACCGCCGCGCGCCTCGGGGCGCACGGCGGGCAGAAAACCGCCGCGTGCCTCGGGGCGCACGGCGGGCTGAAAACCCTAGTTTCGACGCCGCGCGCCACGGGGCGCGCGGCGGACAGGGAGTAGCAGTAGCAGTAGCAGTAGCAGCGGAAGGCTTAGGTGGTGGGCCCACCCACAGGATCGACCCAGGAGGGTCGACCTGCTCTGATACCATGTCAGAATCACTAGGCAAGAATGATTGAAAGGAGAGAGAGCGATTGAACTAGCAGGCAGTTGAGTACAAATAGCAAACCCTAGATTGGGCTGTACTCGCTATAGAGTACCCCACTGCAGGCTAGACAATAATAGCATTCTGACAATGATGTCAAGTGTGTGTGTCGAGTCAATAGCGAGTTATCGCTAGCCGCGTATTACGCGGTTATTTTGTGTGTCCCGCGCGGTTTCTATTTTGTCGTGCGCGGTTTCTATTTTGTCGCTTGTCGAACGTTCGGCGTGTCGCAGGTGTGTGCAGCAGACCCATCAAGAACTCAAGGATGAGTTTGTGGTGAAGAACCCGAGCCTTGGTTCAAGCTTCAAGTGTTTTCGAAGCTCGCCAAAAGGCTACACCTCAAGATATTGAAGATAGTTACATTACAAAGTGTAGTGTAACATTTCAGTTGGTGTAGGCCCTTGTGGAGGGTAGTTTCGAGACCCTTCTTGGTTGGGGACAGTGTGGCACTGTTCCACATCACTGTACCTCGGCTCTTGGGGTTTGTAGGAGCTGGGAGTCCTTCCCAACTCGTAACTCTTCCTAGCTGTTCGTAATTGTGTCTTCTAAGACTATGTTGCTGCCATAGTGCCGTTCGTTCAATCTGACGCTGTGTCGTCAATTCTTAATGAAATCGTGCGATCTAAATTGCCTATTGTAGGCGACGTTAAGACGCTCCAGATCCAAGTTGAATGAGGTCAATTGGAGCTGTGACCAGATCGCTATGAACGTTTAAATCCGCTGTGCTGAAATCCGAGTGCGCACTCTATCTTTCGTTTTAGGCACATTGAAGCCTACTCTGACTATAACACATCTCACTCCATTCAGCTCACACCATTCCGTGTCTTGTTGTGTGAATGCGGAGTAAGCCAGGTCTGAACACATTTCTGCAACTCATGAATCAAAAGTTATGATCATAAGTCATGGTCCGCTGTGAGCCTTCGCGCGTGGCTTGTCATGGGTAGACTATCATTATGAGCCATGTCGCGTGTGTCATGTCGCAATGACTTCTGAGGCGCCTCAAAAGTCATGGCTAGAGCATCATTATGAGCCATACTGCATGTGTCATAATGATCGTGTCCTTCAGCATGGCGATCCCATAGTCTATAAAATGGACGGTCATAGTATGTCATGATCTGTGGACCATAAACGATGAGGATGTGCCTAATGTGGCTTGTTGTATGCTCACCGCTGCACTTGCACATTCTGTCAAAGCAGGATACATATAGGAAACCCTAAATTGGGCTGTACTTGCTATAGAGTACCCCACTGCAGGCTAGACAAATACAACATTCTGACACACCCCCATAGCCAAAGTGGGGTGTAATCAGCACAATAAGCAAGGAAAGCAATAGTTCACAATGATAAGCAAAGCTAGAGGCTATCACAGAGGGCAAGTGAGGAGGAGGAGAAATAGTGAGGGCGAGAAGATGGGAGGCGACGGCTGAAGCTGCAGACACACGGGCAACAGGAGCGCGCACACTGTGGCTACCAGGCGCAGAGCCCCGGACTACACGGCAACAGGCGCAGCTGGCTCTCTGGGCTACCAGGAGCGCGCACACTGTGGCTACTAGGCGCAGAGCCCCGGAATACACGGCGACAGGCGCAGATGGCTCTCTAGGCTACCAGGCTAAATCCCAGACTACAGGCGCTGCGGACGACAAGTCGGCTGCCTCCACTCAACCTTGCCCAGCTGTCCCACACCCCTTTCACACACCCCCTGATGTTCCCCTAGCACTGCTCACACGCCACCCCCCTCGTAATGCTCCGACGGCTCCAACACATCCACCCCCCTCAGCGGCAGCTGCAGCAGTGGGAGACGGAGGAGGAGGAGGAGCAGGGGACGGCGCATACACCCTCAGACTCGCCACCCCCAAACCCTAACACAAGCAGCATGGGGCAAGAGCGCGGGCAGCAACGGGGGTGGTGCGCGGGCAGCAGCTCGGGGGACGGCGCGCGGCTCCTTAGGGCGCCACGACGAGGCAGCGGGGGCCGCGCGCGGCTCCCCAGGGCGCCGCGACGGGGCAGCGGGGGGCCGCGCGCGGCACCCCAGGGCATCGCGACGAGGGTGCGGGGGCCGCGCGCGGCTCCCCAGGGCGCCGCGACGGGGCAGCGGGGGCGACGCGCAGGCCCGCGGGGCGACGCGACGGAGCCCCGGGCGACGCGACGCGCTCCCGGGGGGCGACACGACAGTCGATGGGGGGGGGGGGTGGGGGGGACGCGCGAGTCTCCGGGGTGACGCGTGAGGCAGTAAACCGCCGCGCGCCTCGGGGTGCACGGTGGGCAGAAAACCGCCGCGCGCCCCGAGCGCGCGGCGAGCAGAAAACCGCCATGCGCCCCGAGCGCGTGGCGGGAAGAAAAAACGTTGCGCGCCACGGGGCACGTGACAGACAGAACAGCAGCGGAAGCAGGCGGGCCCACAGGCCAGGAGCGTAACCGCTCTGATACCATGTCAAAACAGTAGGCAAGAACGATAGAACAGAAAAGAGGGTTTGGACTAGCAGCAGCAGGATACATATAGGAAACCCTAAATTGGGCTGTACTCGCTATAGAGTACCCCACTGCAGGCTAGACAAATACAACATTCTGACACATTCCTCATGCACTCTCTTCCTCTCGAACCTTCAGCTCTTGAAGTGGACGGACCTGGCATTGCATGATCTGTGGATCATGGACGATAAGATGAGGAGACGTTTAATGTGGATTGTTCTATGCTCACCACTGCACATGCCTAATTCCCTCTGTTCAACCATCACAACCCCACAGTCTTCAAGTGAACAGACCTAGCATGGCATGATCTGTGGAACACGGGCGATGAGAAAGCTTTCAAAAGCTGCGACTTCATTCGAGAAAAGCGCCTCCGACCCCTCGTTGTTGTTCATGAGTCCGAGCAGCATGAAGAAAGTCGGAGCTGTATGAAGAAGTTCAGGGCAGCATTGGAAAATTCAGAGCAAAATGACGAAAGCCGGGGTGCTGCTTGAAAACCACCATCACCGCCACCACCACCACCACCACCACCACCACCACCACCACCACCACCACCACCACCACCACCACCACCACCACCACCACCACCACCACCACCACCACCACCACCACCACCACCACCACCACCACCACCACTGCCGTCGCAGCCACCGACGCCACTGCCACCCACCACTGCCGCAACGCCGGGTGACGCGCGAGTCTTCGGGGTGACGCGTGAGGCAGTAAACCGCCGCGCGCCTCGGGGCGCACGGCAGGCAGAAAACCGCCGCGCGCCCCGAGCGCGCGGCGAGCAGAAAACCGCCATGCGCCCCGAGCGCGTGGCGGGAAGAAAAAACGTCGCGCGCCACGGGGCGCGCGACAGACAGGACAGCAGCGGAAGCAGTAGGCGGGCCCACAGGCCAGGAGCGTAACCGCTCTGATACCATGTCAAAACAGTAGGCAGAAACGATAGAACAGAAAAGAGGGTTTGGACTAGCAGCAGCAGGATACATATAGGAAACCCTAAATTGGGCTGTACTCGCTATAGAGTACCCCACTGCAGGCTAGACAAATACAACATTCTGACACATTCCTCATGCACTCTCTTCTTCTCAAACCTTCAGCTCTTGAAGTGGACGGACCTGGCATTGCATGATCTGTGGATCATGGACGATAAGATGAGGAGACGTTTAATGTGGATTGTTCTATGCTCACCATTTCACATGCCTAATTCCCTCTGTTCAACCGTCACAACCCCACAGTCTTCAAGTGAACAGACCTAGCATGGCATGATCTGTGGAACACGGGCGATGAGAAAGCTTTCAAAAGCTGCGACTTCATTCGAGCAAAGCGCCTCCGACCCCTCGTTGTTGTTCATGAGTCCGAGCAGCATGAAGAAAGTCGAAGCTGTATGAAGAAGTTCAGGGCAGCATTGGAAAATTCAGAGCAAAATGACAAAAGCCGGGGTGCTGCTTGAAAACCACCACCACCGCCACCACCACCACCACCACCACCACCGCCGCCGCCTCGCAGCCACCAACGCCACTGCCACCACACCACCGTCGCAACGCCGCTGCGACAATCATCACTCGCAATCACTAACAATCTCAGACTTCCACCATCATCATACAGGGCTACCACCATTGAACACCATCACTAACGACCACATGCTTTTACTATATAGATTTGACCATTACTATCTTCCTTGTGGTGGGTACAAGGTAACTGCAATATGGGAGATCTATGCTCACTATTTCGTTGAGTGGCGTGCATCGCCGCTACTTATGCGAAGTTGATTGTGGTGAAACTCCTGGATGACTTGAGAACAGCGCCAAGTTGAAGTGTCCACATCATTTCAGTTGCGCACTTACTGTAGCTAGCATTGCGGGTGTGGTTGGTTTAGTGACTACACGACGGTTGGCTGCAGGGATTGTTAATTCAATCCTGCCCGACTCCGATAGTTCGTGTTTTCACTTACCGGAAGGCCACGGGTACCCGACTGCCCACCAGACGTAGTGCTAGGCACATGGATCAGGAGGCTGTTAACCGGATGATGGCGCAAGTGGCAGAAATGCAGGAAAGCATAAAGACGTTAATGGCGGAAGTGACAACATTGCGGGAGGAAAACGCCGAGCTACGCCAGACGCGAGGTGAAGCGCGTCAGGCGTCGCCTGTGGACGAAGGCGAGGGCAACAGTCAGGCGATGAGCAATCCGCTGGATGCGCTCACACGTGACTTCGAAGAAGAAGACAGGCAGCGAGCGGCAGCAGCGCCAGTTGCAGTAACGACGATTAAGATCAAGCCCGCCGACCCGCCCCCGTTTAATCCTACGGACAAGACGACTACAGTGAAGGGGTGGCTGTTCGGTGTCGAGGTCTTCTTCACGGCAGCAGGCGTTAACGACAATGCCACGCGTATTAATTACGCAGTTTCGCTTCTTCGAGGGACAGCGCTTGAATGGTGGCGCCGGACCTTAGAAGCAGGGACGCCGACAGGTGTGACACATGCGGCAGACGGGACCTCTATAGTGGTTCATCAAGTGGCGGAACCTATCTTCGGGGTGACCAAGATTCGCACGTGGAAGGAGTGGGGCGCAGCCTTACGAGATCGCTTCGAGCACGTATCCGCCTCGGAGCAAGCTCGCATGAAGCTGCGTGCATGGTCGCAGATGGATTCTGTCCAAGACTACACAGCGTCATTTATGGGCCTCGCCGACCAAGTGGATGACATGTCGGAAGCTGAACGGTTGGATAAATACATCAGCGGCCTTAAATACGAGATACAGTACGAGGTTCGCAGGGGCCGCCCGACATCGTTTCTTGAAGCTGTACGGCTGGCGGAGTCAACAGATGCGCTGATGCAGTACGCGAGAGCAGCTTCCAGGGATGGGAGAAGCTTTCGTGGCCAGACCCATCGGGCCACGATCAACGCCGTCCATACACCCGACCGACCTCCTAAGGGTCCGTGTTTTCGGTGTGGGAAGGTGGGTCACTACAAGAAAGGCTGCCAGGAGAAAATGCCGCTGACAGGGGACGACAGGAAGGAGCAGGGAAATGGGAAGAGTCAGTAATTAGCGGGCCCTTTACTGACTGTGCTCCGTCGCCCGAACACCATCATCCCCACCGAGTCGTGGTTCCGATTCATGCAATCGATCGCACTCGGCCGAATAACGGGGATAATCATGTGGATCACCCTGTGCTGGTCGCTGGCAAGGTGTTAAAAAATAATTTGAAAATGTTCGTCGATGGGGGGGCCAGCCATAGCCTCTTCAACTTGGCGAGCGCAAAAAGATGCAGATTGCAATTTGACAGGTGTCTGCCCGAAATCGACGCACGCCTCGTGGATGGGACGCCTCTGGCGATAACGGAAGAAACACGGACGGTGCGGATCGAATGCGGCGACGATTTCGGCTTCAGCATGAAGTTCCTCGCGACGACGCTGGATGGCTGCGACGTGCTGCTGGGACGTGATTGGCTGCGACGACACAACCCCGTCATCGACTGGACAACGGGATCGTGCTGCGTCAGCAAGCACGGGGGGCTAATTAAGCTGCCTGCATGGACACCTGACTACATCCAAGCCCCGTGCGTCAAAGCTATCACTATAGCTCGCCACTTCAACAGGGGCGCGCAGCTGTTCGCTGTCTGCTTACGCGAGTTGGCAGTCGACACCGACGGAAAGGACATCGAGAAGCTGTGTGCAGCTGTACCTCCGGATTTAGCGGAGCTGATTCGACAGTACCCCGACATTTTCCCGGACGATCTGCCACCTGGGCTGCCACCCGAGAGACCCGAAGACCATAAAATCCAGCTGGAGTCTGGCGCGCAACCAACTGTTCGGACACAGTGGCGGTTGACCCAGCCGGAACTCGAGGAGCTGCGCCGACAAATTGACGCACTGTTGGAGAAAGGGTTCATTCGGCCGAGCACCTAACCGTTCGCGGCACCGATCCTGTTCACTCCGAAGAAGGACGGCGGGCTTCGCATGTGCATCGATTATCGCGCGTTGAACCGGGTGACCATCAAATCTCGCTACCCAATCCCACGCACCGACGACCTTCTCGATCAACTTCGCGGCGCTCGCTACTTCTCGAAAATCGACTTACGTGGCGGTTACCACCAGATTCGGGTCTTCGCCGACGATTGTCACAAGACCGCGTTTCGCACACGCTACGGGAGTTACGAATTCACGGTGATGCCCTTCGGCCTCACGAACGCGCCTTCGACATTTCAACTGACCATGAACAGGGTTTTTCGGGATCTTCTAGACCGATGTGTCATCGTCTACTTGGACGATATCCTCATTTTTAGCAAGACACGGGAGCAGCATCTCCGCGACCTGGACGCAGTGTTTAAGCGGTTGCAGGAGAACCGCCTCATCACCAAGGGCTCTAAGTGCGAGTTCTTTAAGCAGGAGTTGGAGTTTTTGGGGCACCTAATCTCCCGCGACGGCATCAAAATCGACCCGAAGAAAATCAAGACCATCCAGGAATGGAAGGCCCCGACTAATGTCACGGAGCTTCAGAGTTTTCTGGGGTTCGTGAATTACGTCCGGCGGTTTATCCCGAATATGGCGGGGATAACCGGCCCGCTGACCGACCTGCTGCACAAGGACAAGAATTTCGTGTGGGGGGAGGAGGCAGAGGCGGCTTTCCAGGAGCTCAAGAATTTTCTCGTTTCCCCTCCTGTGCTGCGCATCGCCGACCCATCGAAGCCGTTCGAAGTTGTAACCGACGCCTCTGATTTCGCCATCGGAGCTGTGCTACTCCAAGATTTCGGGAACGGGCTGCAGCCGATCGCCTACGAATCACGCAAGCTGCAAGCTGCCGAACGCAACTACCCGATTCACGACAAGGAAATGCTCGCCATTATCCATGCGTTCAAACTGTGGCGCTGCTACCTGGTGGGCGCCGACGTCACTGTGCGCACGGACCACAAGTCCCTACAGTACCTGCGAGCCCAGCCCAACCTCAACCCGCGACAAATTCGGTGGCTGGACTACATGGAGAGCCACTTCACCTACCGCATCACGTACAAGAAAGGGGCGAATAACATCGCCGACGCCCTGACCAGACCGACCGTACAATCCACTGCAGTACTGATAACCCATTCGAACCCGCTACTTACAGGACTATTCACCCACGGCTACACTACGGACCCGTTCTTCACGACAGGAAATCATCAGCAGGCCACGATACAGAAGGGGGATTATTACCTAAAAGCCGGAACCGACCGGATTTGGGTTCCCGCTTACCGGCTGCTGCGTGAACTCCTCATCCAGGAGGTCCACGATTCGAACTTCTCCGGACACTTCGGGGTTGATAAAACACAGAAACTACTGCACCGTCAATATTACTGGCCTGACTCCTCTAACGACGTGCAGCGCTATGTGTCCTCATGCAGGGTGTGCCAAGCAATGAAATCGACACGTCAGCGACCAGCTGGGCTGCAGCTGTCAAACATTATATATGTTGTGGTTGTTTAGGCTACAGTGGGTTAGCCTATAGGGGGTACACAATTCTAGGGTTAGGTACTTGTACACACTTCACTGCTAGTTCATTCATTCCAGTCCGTTCATTCTGACATGGTTTCAGAGCAGGTCCTTCGCTAGGACCGTTTTTTTTTAAGGGCCCACCGTTACCTACCTACCTACCTACCTACCGTGCGCCCTCGTGCGCCTACGCGCCCTCGTGCACCTTCTACCTACCGCGCG